TACTTACACTACACACTACTCTGACTCTATCGGTGACCACAGAAAACTGCTGTCAATGCATTTTTTTTCCCAATTCATCTGACATTACATACCACAAAAACAAGGAAGTGAAAAAAGCTTTACTGGATTTCAGCAACATTTTCATTTCTACAAAAAATACTAATAAAACGACGCCATCGAAATGCACAATTTTACAAACATCTTTGTCCTTGCACATTAAAAAGGCTAAAACAAAATCTGTGTATATGATGTCAAGACTATATGCAAAACATGTCAAATTATATACAACCTTTGTTTTGTAAAAGTATTTAAAGACTGAATCAGTGTTTAATTTCAAGAGGGACTTTTAAATGGATCATTGTGTCGTTCTGTGTTAACAGAAGAGTTGTCTACTGTGAAAGCTACATTCTGAATACCAGAGGTTTTCTGGCCAATATTTTCCTCCTTGTTCTTACTGCACAAATTTTTACATTTCAAAAGATTAAACAGATTCTTTCGCAACTTCTGTGAGAGCATATATAGCAGAGGGTTCATACAGCAGTGAGAATAGGCAAGCATTTCACTTATATGGTAGGCAACTGCTAACCGTTCCTTTGCCTTGCAACCTTTGGGTTCATAAAGAGATTTAATTAAAAGCATAATATGGTATGGCCCCCAGCAAACGAAGAAGACTGCAACAATACACAACAGCACAGCTACAGTCTTGTGCTTCTTTCTACTTAAACCTTGTAAAACTGTCTTGAGGATTGCAGAATAGCAAAAAATAATGATGGCAAATGGGAGGAAGAATAGCAATGACACTTGGAGATAACGTCCAAGCTTGTCTTCAGATTCATCAACACAATAAATATGATTATCCCAGTTTATGGCTTTTACTTTAATTGCATCACTCAGGGATGCCGAGATGCTGATGATCCAGGCAGCTATACAGGCGCCGATTGCATACCTCTTTCTTCTAGTACGGTTGCTTTTCCAGTTTGGCAGCACCACCCTAATGAAACGGGCCACTGTCATGGCGGTCAGTAAAATGACACTGCTATACAAACCAACAAAGAATATGGCAGTCATTAATTTGCAGATAAAGTCCCCAAAGACCCATTGTTGTAGGTGATCAACGGCCCAGAACGGAAGCGTGATGGTGAAGATCAAATCAGAGCAGGCCAGGTTCAGGATGAAAATATTTGTGATACTTTTCAGGCCCTCGTAGATGAAAAGAACACATAAGAGGAGGCTGTTGCCTATGACACTGAGGATGAAGATCAAGATGAGGGAAGGGCCAGTAATACTGGGAAAGTCACTGTCACAAAGATGATGGACTTCATTGCTTGTCATGTTGTTTGCCATTGTCAATTTTCTACAAAATATAAACACAAAATAAGATTTTTTTCAACACATTTAAATACTATAATTTAGCTGTTTTCTCTATACTGACAGAAACTGTGGATTTTAGTTTTAGTTTAATATGTAAAATAGAGATTAATAAAGGGGATTAAACACAGAAACCTACCTCTTGTATCTGCCAGCAAGTGTTCTGTTGAACTGTACTGTTCAGGAAAAGCTGCAATGATCTTAAGCAAACCAACAGTTCCTCTTTCTGTTTCACACTAAGTTCAAGATAACGCCCAAACAAAAACTACATTAAAAAACAAAACATTTTGTCCACATTTAAAATGAAACTTAAACAAAATTACACCTATGTTTCAATATCACTCACAACTAATTGTCTACAGTTTTGCTGCACTGATCAAAAGATAAAGTTTTATTTATCTGATTTTTTTTTTTTTTATTTGGTAAAGCTTGAAAATGCTGATGATATAAAGTTTGAAAATAAGCTACTTTTTTGGGAAGAAAATATATCCTGCTGAAAAAAATGGAAACAATAAAAAAAAACTTTGTAAAACTAATTGATATAATAACATAAACTCCTAAAACAGAACAACAAAGAGATATCTGTAATGTGGCATACTCAGTAGATGAATATACTTTTATAATTACTACAGTAGTACAGCAATAAACGGCTCTTTGATCTAAGAACAGTTTTGTCACAGGTAAGTGCATGAAGAAAACTTAAAACATTTTCCTTCTCATCCAAAGATTGTTTAGGTGATAAAAAAAAATTCAATATATAAAATATGGAAACTTAAGATGTTGTATTAGTGATTTAACTGGTTAAATTAAAGACGTTCAGCAACCAAGATTTTTTTTTTTGTTGTTGTTGTTTGTTTTTCATACAATCTGATGGCTGAGTCTGCACCTGCTGAACTTGCCTGCTTTGTTGAACCAAACATGGAAGATGTTAACATGCTGGATTAATTGTTGAGCCTTTTCTATTATCATGCTAAGTGAGTTATTTCAGGCTTCTTCACACTACACTCTATCTGATCTTGCCCTAGGAATTTGGTCCAACATGATTACAAAATCGACCTCTTAAGTCGACAGGTCAAAGTGCAATTTATTTGCTAGTTGCTCGCTTGTTGAAAAAGAAAGTATGCTGTTAAGAAAATATTAAAAGGTATTTCTTTCAAAATAAATAAACTTCAACAAGATACAAAAGTTAGTTTATTTTTTTTT